CATTTCTGAGACATGCACGATATGTCAATCCTACCTTAAGAATGGTAGTGCAATCCTATCAAATGAATCCATCAATCATTTCAAAGAATACCACCTGCAAAAAAAGAACATCCAACTAATAGTAATCCGAATTGTGTTATCAGAACAAAAGTTGCATATCGGTGCACTCTTCTGCCCGCCTTGGCACATTTAGAAGAAACGTTCATTGTTAGTGGAGATTACTAAGCCAAACGTAGATTGAAGCTTCAAGCTGGTAACGACCAAAGGAAAAAAATTACGAAAAGCAGCCCAAGAGTATAATTGCAACTACCACTCAACAGGAATGCCGTTCTACTGGGCTATTGATATCGAGGACATCTCCGACTTAGTAGTCTTCTTTATCACCATAAAAGTTACTTCATAGAAGTTAAAGAGACAGACTCTGATTACTCATCGGTCATACTAATATTAGGTGAAAGAATAATAAAAAAGTCAAAAAAATTCTTGCAAATAAAGCTACTGATTGGAAAGCTTTCAAATTGATCTCCAGAATAAAATCAACGTAAACATTAGTTTTAGAAAGAGTGAACAACTAGAAAAAGACGATAAACATTTCACCTGTCTTACTCAATCAGACATAATACACGTAAGCAAAGGTTTGAATTATCCACTTAAGATCAGAGAAGTTGTCAAAGAAAAACGAAGAGTGTATAGAATAACCGACAACATTGAACGGACCTTGAAAGAAAAGAAAGTCTACCCAGGAGTATCTAGAGTATCTAGTATATACTAGTCACATACCAGAGTTTGCAGATAATATAACTCTATTTGTAGTGGGGAAAGATAAGAAGTTATCAACTGGGAAATTGGGAAATGTAATATTCAACTGAAGCAAAAATTAAAGGATAAAGTTAAACAAGCGGCTAGTAACCTAGTAATGACTAGAGAAAATAGCATAATTAATGCTAAAATACAGATAGCGCTGTTGTCTGATTGAAAGGAACTACAAACATTCAATCTCCAACAAGCTATTAATTTACAATCAGATTAGACAGACAATCAGAATCTAACTCTGAGTCTGTGCTAGTGCCTCGAATATCAAGTGTATTCAAATATTTGTGTATTTTAATATTTATGGATTTGTGTCAAATATCCCCTTTGTGCGAAATTCCGTATATACATAATGACCCCTGCATTCCAACGATTAAGGAAGAAATTAAAAGGTTTGCTAAAAAGCATGAAAATAGACTTCACCTCAACGACAAAAGGATTTTCAACTGCTGGACAACCGACCCAACCGTCCGACGATTGAAGAGACGAAAACCATGTGATCTTTTGACCTGCACAACAATTAACGTAAATTGACTGGATTGATTATGACATTGAGAAATTTGTTAATGAAGAATAGGAGAAAATATTTAATGCAATATATTTGCAAATTAATCAATTTAAAATTATTATGAAACAATAAAGATAATGAATAATAGTAATTACAAATATGAATTTTCAGATTTCTTGTCGAAAGTGTGAATCCAGTGCACTTCAAAACTTTTCCTTTGCAAATTAGAATTTAACAATGACAACTTTCAGACATTGTCTTGCAGTTTAGACATTGCCAAGTGTAATTCCAAAGTATTTCTTGTAACTTATATTTTAGATTTACGTAAGATAAACGTCTCTATTTGCGCTATATGGGAAATTGTAACTATTATCTAAAAAAAATGTCGTTATTTGTTTTTAATAATTAATAGTTATTCTCTACATAAATCATATTTTGTAATAAGTCAGTCTTTACTGCGCGTTTATATTAATGATGTAACATATGGCGTATTATCAAGAATGATTTGTACACATGATGATGCAGGGCATGACGATCGCCGGATTATATACATAGAAACAACCAAAAATATGGACAAAATAACTACAATCGTGATATTTTTCCGAATGCTAATGTAAACATGATGTTATCACATCACTAGTGTTTTTATTCGGCAACGTGTTATAGATATCTGTTTAAGCTGTCTAATTGTTTTTGAGCATATTTCTTCATTTATAGTTGATAATTTAACTCACTAATTGGTTCTGTAATATTTAACACCTATCAATTTTTGTTATTTGCTAAATTTTTTTTAAATCTCACTAAATGTGAACTACTATGCAGGGTGTCTCAGCGAGACCAGTCATTAGACGTTTCTGGGGTTCTGGTCAAAATAAAAATTTGTGAATTCAGACTTAAGTAATATTTTATTTTTTAAATGGAAAACCCTGTATTTTTTTACATATTTGGATTTGCCTGTTTTCAAGGTTTATAAATAATTTAACTTTTGCAATTTGATTCTGCCGTTCTCGAGTTATTCGAATATTTCTAGAAAAATCTGCTCCGGCAGACATTTGTTCAAAAAACCAGAGAACACTCGATTTTTGGGATATCAATTTAGGATTCAGAACATGCTTAAGGAACATGATGGAGTATGTTTTGGAGCCGAGAACGGCTGTCTACAACGTTTGGTCACTTTACTATGGAACGTTAACTTTTCGAACTTTGGAAGTAGGTACCATAACTTAATTTTTTTAAATGGCACACCCTATATTTTATTACTTAGTTGTCTTCGCTGTCTCATCTTCTCTGTTGCCAAAACCGCCAAATTTGATTTGAACAGTTAACAAAAGAACTTCTAATAAAAACAACAAATTAAAATTAAAGTCAAAATTTAAATTAAAATGTTAGTCAATCATTATCTGTAGGATTCACATCAATCTCCCTTCTGGTTCTATCCCAGTGAAATACAAAAGAGTAAATTAAAATTAACAGTATTTTCATTTAAATTGATTTGATACATCTCCAAAAACAATCTATTGTAGTCATTCGCATCACTATAGAGAACAATAGGATTTTCAAAGTCAAAAGTATGATTGCAAGTGACCATATGATTAGCTAAGGCACATTGAGTTTTTTAGTATTAAAATCACTTTTATGTGAGCTGATACGTCTCTTCAACCACTGACCAGTAACACCAATATAACAGCCGGTACAATCCTTACAATCGATTTGGTAGATGACGTTCGATTTGTATAGTAAAGGATCGGAATCTTTTACTTTAAAAAAAAAGTTCTTAATTTTTAACGCAAAACCGTTATTGATAAAAACTTTCTTAAGTTTAGAAAGCGCTTCAGTTTGAAATTTAGTATTGCAGATTTTCAAAATTCTGTTTTTCATACCCACAAGAGTATTGATCTTATGGTTAAAAGAATGACTTGAATAACAGTTAATATAACGACCCGAATATGTAGGCTTGGTGTACCAATCAATTACCACAAAGGCATTCTCCCGAATAACCTTACCTTTATTATTGTTTTCGACGCATTTATCTTTTCATACACGTTTTGAGTTCATAACTCTTCATCCATCTTGTAATGTTTTAATTAATTTTGACTTATTTCTCGTAATGAGTAGTCAAGAATTGTTTTGATGTATTTCAACTGTCCAGATTTCACTTAACTATGATGTAGTAAATTTAGAGTTTGTTTTTTCTTGTTAGTAACTTCGTTGTTTTTTAGTAATTACCTGTAGAAGAAACAATAAAGTTTCGAAATATTGCAAGTAATAATTTAGTTACTTTTTTGGTCTGATCGCCGCACCCACTAATTCTACCGTATAGCCATTCTATATTAAGTCTAAAAAGGGCTATCGACCAAAGTCCTTCCGCCCCATCTCAATAATTAAAATTTTATCAGCCACATATTGTTATCTTGTTACGTGTGAATCCAGTGTACTTCAAAACTTTTCCTTGCAAATTAGAATTTAACCAAGACAATTTAACAATGACAATGTCATTTCAGACATTGTCTTGCAGTTTAGACATTGCCAAGTGTAATTCCAAACTATTTCTTGTAACTTATATTTTAGCCACATATTGTTATCTTGTTACAATCCTTTTAAATAGTGTCGAATTCTGATTGTATAAATACGGGTGACATTTCTTCAGCCATCTTGCTCTTAGATTTGTTTGCTAAAATTAACGTTTTATTTGCGATGTTGTGCAATGGATTGTTCGGGTGTCTCATTTTCGTTACTGCTCTGAGACTTGTTCTTTTGCCAACTTCCAAACTCCTTAGTGTGCATCGATTGCTATCATACGTCAATAGGCTTGCAGGGATATGCTGGAGCAGATTTTTCTAGAAAAGTTCGAATAACTCAAGAACGGCTGAATCAAATTGCAAAAAGTAATGTTATTCATAAGCCTTGGAAACAAATAAATCCAAATTTGTAAAAATATACAGGCTATTACGTTTAAAAAATAAAGTAGGTGGCGACTTCCGGTATAACCCGAAGTGTTAGAAATCAGAAAATATTTTAGTCGAAGAGAACGCAATTGATAATACTTAAATCTGAATTCTCAAATTTTTATTTGGCCAGAACCCCAGAAACGGCTAATGACCGGTTTCGCTGAGACACCCTGTATACATAATGGATTTAACAGTTGTGGAATAATGTTGGACTCTATCTAAAATTATTAGTGCGTAGTGGTTAAAAAAGTCGATATGGAAAAATTGTTTAATTAAAACTAAATATTCCGAGCGATATTTACTTCTCAGTAAAAAAAAAATTCCCAAATAATAATGAAAATAGCAATAACTTCTATGTTTTTAAATAGAGCGTTTAAATTTTATTATTATTTTATTATTATACGGAGAAATTGTTAAATTTTTCGCGTTTATATACTATTTTAATATAAATATCAGATATCCAATTTTATTTATAGTGCATCAAACAAAGAACACATGGATAAAAAAACAACTTTCAAAAACATTGCCACAATATTTGTGTATACCTGTAACTGTGTATTCGTGTACTTGGATTGGAATGTAGTAGGAAGAAACATGCTGTTTAAGAAAAATAACTTAAATAAAAGATTATTAATTAATATAGATTCATTAATGTTGTTAAAAGAAAATAAATAATCGCAACAATACGATTTTTATTTAAATTTTATGTAATAATTTAATTTTTAACTACTCACCGAAAAGTATAAACGCCGCCGCAAATAATATCTTCTGAAATACTGTATTTGTTCTTCTCCCAAACATTTTCGCAGAATTAATTAAGTAGTTTTCAAATTACACTAACAAAAACCGATTAATGCTAATTATTCTTGAACGATTTTAACTACAAAATCCTAAAATTTTAAATTCTATTCTTCTCGTTTTTACGAAATAAATGATTTCAATTTAAAACTATTTTAAAAGAAAATTTCACTTGTAGTATTAACGGATGACGCAACACCGAAATAATACTGCAATATACTGAAACTATGAGTAACACACCGGAACAGAATTAGAATAACTTCCCGGTTTATTTCAGGAAACTCGAAAAAATATAACAAAATAGTAAACTATTCGTTAAGTTAAAACCGTACTTTAAAACGTGAAAGAATTTAGTAAATTTAATGTACTTTTTGCAAAATCGTGCCAGTAAAGGTTATGTTTACATTGCCGCGGAGCGCACGCGACTGAAACTCGTAGTTGTCGACGACGACCTCGTTGTGTGTTAGGTTTGGAGCCGTGTGCGTGTTCCCCACCGTGGCTTTTTGCGCCGAACCATGTCGACGATATTAAGGTTCAAAATTGCACCGAATATCATCTGGAAGAGGTATACCGTGAAATAATGCAAATAAAAGATAACACGACGTGTTGGGAATTCCCTTGGAGAGCCGATTAACAGAATAAATATGCTGTTTATCTTTTCTAATTCCTTAATTATATTTATGTGGCTAATGACTATTTTGCATTTTTCAAAACAAGGAAATGAGTTGTCATGTAATTATTCATGTTAGTTCTAATGCTAGTGTTAGTTCATGTTTTGGTTATTATTCAGCGTTAGAATGTTGTACATAACTAAAACTAGAACTAACACTAGACCTAGAACTAGAAAAATTCTAGTAAAATTTTTCTGGTTCTAGGTCTAGTGTTTATTCTAGTTTTAATTGTATTTCAGTGTTCGGGTTGTATATTTTTATTGAACTAAAAGTGAAACTAACACTAGACCTAGAACTAGAAACATTCAGGTTTAGCCGTCTTAAGAGACGCCCAGCTAAACCAGAATGTTTCTTGTTCTAGGTGTACTGTTAGTTCTAATGCTAGTCTTAGTTCTAGTTTTAGTCGTTATTCATCCCTAGAGTGTTATATATTTTTACTGAACTAAAAGTGGATCTAACATTAGACCAGACAAAATATTTTAAAGTTATACTATTAATATTAGTGTTTGTTCAAGTTTTAATTATTAGTCATCGTTAAATTGTATATCTTTCATTGATCTAAAACTAGAACTAACACTGGACCTAGAATTAGAAACATACGGGTTTAGCCGTGCGTTTTCAGACTGAACTTAACTACATTACAGTTCAGTGTTAGGTTGTTATACAGTTGGTATATCGGATATTATAAGAGATATAGCAACAATTAAATGGGGAATGTTTCGCAGAATTTAATGCTCACAACAAATCATATTTCAAATTCATCCTGCCTTTTTTCGTTTTTGAGATATTTTGAAAAAACTGAAATTTGCTGATTTTAATTTTTTCTAATAAGTCGATAACGCCTAATGCAATTGCTTTTAAACTTTTACATTATTAAGACACTTTTTTGAGACTAGTTTTTTGGTCTGAACAGAAACTATCGATATTCATTTGTTTCCAAGTTATAAGCGCCGACTTTTTTTTTTCTTATGGCGGCCATATTGGATTTTTGATTAGTTAAATAGTCCCTAAAAAGAGCTTTTGAATAATGTATAACATGCCTAATAAATCGTTAGTTATACCAGAGATATAGACAAAAAATTATTTTTCGTTAGCACGAAATTACTAGGCTATGAAATTATACATCACGTCGGTCTAAAATGAATGATAAACTCTGTCTCTATTAATAGGTAAAAGTTGAATTAGTCAGAGTGTAATTACTAAACACGCCACAACAACGAGAAGATATCGAAAGTTATATAAATAATCGATAATCATCAATAATATCAAATAACGGAAACAGAACATGGTGAAGTTTTATTCATAAATTTGGCGATTTCTTCCTGATGATGAGGGCTCAGTTTCCTCGAAACATGTAGAAAAGAAATCAAAAATAAATAACATCGATATAGTACAAGGAAAATAATTTAACCTTCATATCCAAAACTAATAACTTTGTCTACAAATTATTGATAAGTACCTAATAACCGTTAAGCATTCAAAATAGTAAGTACTAATAATAGTACATAAATTTTCAAATGATGCAAAGGTTGATATGTTGGAAGTTTATTTCAAAGCGAATAGAAACGCTCAAACCGTTTGCGAGAGTTACGCTACGCACTTTCCGGAAAGATCACAACCACATAGGACAATTTTCAACAGAATTAACATAAGTCTGGTGAACTTTGGAAGGTTCGAACAGAAACGAGGGAACTACAAAGTTAACAATGCTGGTAGACGTGATAACAATATTTTATGAAATGTTAGAAACAATCTAAGTGCCTCAGTTCGTCAAGTGGCTCAAGAAACTTGAACTCCGAAATCCACCGTTCATCATACGTACGTTGAAGAAAGAGAAATACCACCCGTACAAACCAATAATAGTGCAAGGTTTAAGCAATAATGACCTGAAAATGTAAAAACGATGATGATGTTTCTAGGAAAGTACTTTGAACAGATAAAACACGGTTTACAAATTGTGGAGTGTTCAATAATTATCATTATTGGTCTACTGAAAATCCACATTTGGTAAATCAAAGGAGATTTCTTGGTCCGTACCTTGATGGGCATCTTTTTTGTATGTTTGAGTGTTTGTTTTTTTTTCATTTTAGATAATCATTCAATAAGTCAATTTATCTTTGATAAATATAATAAATAATTTAACTGGCGACAGATACTTAAGGCTGTACCAAACGAAATTATTCCTGTCATCAGACAAGTTATTAACCCCGAAAGCATCCAAAATATCTGGTTTCAGCAAGATAGCTGCCCGGCCCATAATGCTCGTGAAGTACAATTTTTTTAAGAAAACACTCTTTCGTTTAAGTTTTGCGAAAGCATCACTTTTGTTAAAGTGATGCTTTCGGAGTTAATCATGGGCCAGTACAATGGCCTGCGAGATCACCCGATCTTGTCCCTCTTGATTTGTATTCGTAGGGCGCCACTAAAAACTAAATATTTGATTTTGAACCAGTAGAGACTTGGACTTAAACATTCCCTATTCAACTGTTGCTCTATCTCTTATAATATCCGATATAGCAATGGTGAGCATCGAAATCTGGACACACTGTATACAGGTGTCTCACGTAACTGGTTCGTTAGAACTTTCTCAAATTCCACTAAGTGTAGAGATTTGAAATTTCGGTAGCATAGGTTATTCATTCAGAGCTTTCGATTTAAAATATTTTCAAGGTGGCCGCCACTTCCGATCTACCGGAAGTAGACCATAACTTCATTGTTTTAAATATAATGCTATAGTTTTTATTACACCATTTAATTGTACCTAAAAAAATACATAGGTTTACTTTGATACAAGTTATTTGTACCTAGCGTTTTTCGTTTTCGAGTTATTTTGGTTTTAAGCTTTTTTTGGTAAATTTAAACATGTTCTTTAAAACGCCATATCGCAGCGAATATCGCAATATCGCAGCCAACGTTCATGCAAAAAAGATCTACATTGGCACGATTACTCTTTAGGTGCTGTCAAATGGATTTTCATTTGTTGTATCGGAGTATCTTATACAGAGTGGTCCAAAATTGAATTACTGTTTCTCCATATTCAATGGCGAGAAAATCGAAAATTGTAAATGGATTTTTTAGCCTATCAGAAAGGGAATTTAATTCTCTACAAATTATCTATAAATATTCCTATACCTATTTATTGTAGTTTACAACATATTGGGAAATTTATTAAAACTTGTACGAAATGCAGGTTTTTTTTATTGGAAAACTGTGGAAGTTTGACAGTTTTTGGTCCATGTTTGTATTATTGTTGTCATTAGTTACATTTGACGACAGCTGTAAGTCATTGAACATCATGGCAGATTATTCCAACACCGATATTTAAAATTTATTTTATATTGATGGCGAATGTAATAAATTTTTGGAGAGGACGTGTCGAACACTTAATGACAGATGTCTAAAAAACCTAACGCACATCACAAGGAAAAATTTCAAAAAATTGATAAAGATTTTCTTAGTTCTGGACATATCGAGACCAAAAGAAGCCACATATTTCCGATCACCAGTGATGAAGACAACGAAATAAATATTTTATGGTATTTTATTACATTTCCAAATTCAATTTAATAACAAATTTATAAACTCCTGGACAAAATTAACGCACCACTTTATTAAATGTAAATAATTAAATTACTAAGAATATAATAAAATCAAATTAGAATGAAAGCTTACAAATTGGGTTTATAAAATTGGTTGAAAAAGGAATCGGCGAAACATGACCTTATTTTAAATCATTAATACGTCTTTTGTTGAAAATGTGTGAGATATGAAAACGAAAATTAAAATGAAAAATGTTTAAACAATCGAATGAAAATATCCAGTGTGACATTAGTACCTTGTAGGTCCTCCTCTACTCCTAATTACCGCATTCATACGCCTTGGCATGCTAGCGATTAAATTTTGAATTGTATCCTGGTGAATATTGTCCCATTCTTCAATTACTGCATCCACCAGTTGATTGTGGTTGGCAGGTGGGAGTCTACGACCACGGACCTTTTTTTAAGATAGTCCCATAAATGTTCTATGGGATTGAGATCGGGATTGTCAGGTGGCCAATCCATAAACTCAATATCAACAGCATGCAAGTAGTCAATAATCTGTCTAGCCACGTTAGGACGTGCATTATCTTGCATGAATACAAAATTAGGGCCCAAAAAAGGAGCAAATGGCATTACGTGTTCAAGCACGATGTTTTCGACCAATGCTGTGCGAGCGTCGAAGCAGATGGCTCCCCAAAACATTACAGAGCCGTCACCAAACGGCACCCTTGGAGCCATGTTACAACTTGTAAATCCCTCTCCTTGTCTTCGCCATACACGCTCACGTCCATCAGGAGATTTTAAGCTAATCCTCGTTTCGTCAAAGAATAAAATCTTTTTCCAATCATTAACAGATCAATGTTGGTGATTTCGGGCAAAACGCAATCTTTGAACTTTGTGCTCTCTGGTAAATGATGTTTTTTTTGCTGGTCTCCTGCTCTTTAATTCGACTTCATTTAAACGTCTTCTGATTGTTCGAGACGATATTGCAACGTTACGAATCTCTAATAACTGATTTTTTACCACATTACTAGTGATTGTCCGATTTCTAAGAGTGGATACTCGCAGAAAACGGTCATCCCTTTGATGGGTACATCGTTTTCGTCCTTGCCCTGATCTTCGAATGTGAGATCCAGTTTCGATAAACCGTCTAATCATACGACTTATGCTGGAATGATTCCTTCCTAACACATTGGCAACATAACGCATCAAGGAGCCCTCATCCAGCAGAGTTGATGCCCGTACTGCCTAT